TACATATAATACAGTTGTTTTTTTTCCAGAATGTTGTCCTTGGAAATGAGTTACATAATGAAAGTGTAGTTAATACATGAAGGATAGGGAATTCAAATAGACCGCAAAAGCAGACAGAAACTTAGAAATACGAATAACAGCAGATACACCACGCAAATGCATGCTCTTTTTTAAATCTATTGTATTTTCCACTGATGCAGCATTTTCTTCTTCTTTTCCTCTGTTATTTTACATTCCCATTCTGTTATTTTTAAGGTCTTTCTGGAGGCTCGGCTCCCTATGCTGCCGGCTCTCGTCAACCACAATATGTGTCATTTGCACCCGCAACGCAGTCGCTGGTGCCGCAATTTGTTCCCGTTTCAATTATGGATCCGACAGTTTTAGCTGCACAAGCACAGGTACAGGTATGCGCTTTATGTCCCATAAGGGGACATGAGGTTTACGGAGTAAATGGGTCCTATAAGTTTGCCCGTTGGCCAGAATTAAGTATTCAACCACAAATTTCTTTGTGTAGCTCCAGTTCCTGAAATATATTGGGGAGGGAGCCAGAATAATAGTTGTACTGTGGTACAATAATTCTCTTTTTCAGTGGCAGGGAGCTGCAGCGGGCGGATCGCAACTTATTTGGCCTGCTCCAACAATTTTCCCTTCAACAACTGAACTTTTCATGCCCTCGCTCCAGGCTATGGCTGGTCAGCGAACCGCCACTCATTTCAGTCAGGTAGTCGTTAGTGAATTTGATGTCTTCGATCCTGCCCAGATCACTTCATAGTTTCAGGTATTTGCTCATCAGCCACCGCAAAAGGGTTTTAGTTTACCTTCAACAAGTGGTTTATCGCAGCCACAGTTGGCCTCTGCGCAAATGGCTACCACATTTGTTGTAAGCGTGAACGCATTGAAGCTTTCTCATTACAAAAGCGTGCTCTCAGCACTAGTTAATCTCTAGGAGTAGCTGACGTTTTTGGTTCAGGACGATTCCGCTTGGCCACAGCCGAATATAGCCAGTTTGAGTGTTCATATGAACGCGATGCACCGGCCACCAGCTCGTAATGAGCAGGTTAAATGGTAGGAGTTTCCCTATTTTCATATGCCTTTTCCGTCTTGCAACTATTTGGCATTCTATCAATTTATCTAATGTTTTTACATTTTTACCCCAAACTTATGCAGCATTCACAATATGCGTTTAGTGGTGTATCAGAAGCCACTATTGCGCGGCGAACTGCGGCTAAAGCCAAAGGAATTGTGCCATCTCCTGCGGTTTCTGTAATCACAATCAGTTCTAGCGAGGAGGATGAACTAAATGGGAACAGGTTAGCTCACTCGTTGTATCATCAGCATAAAATATTGGGTTGCTATATAAATAATGTGGTTTTTTTTTTCAAATGAAAAATTCTCCTCTGCAATCCCATACTTTTACATGAATTCATATACCTTCCGACAGGTATTTGTCTTTTCTACGAAACTTCCTGTTTCAATTTCACATTAGTTACGAATAGGTTGAATTTTGAGCTAATGATCTGGTATGTCCAGTCGACGAAAACTAGCCAAACCGGAAATCAAGTCAAATTATGTTTTCTTCAAGAAGAAATCAATCAGTGCTGTACATGTGCTTAGTCACGAATTCTACTGATCACTCCGCTGTAGCATTGTACTTCATGTCGCGTCCTTCTTTTACTAAGTTTAATTCCCAATCAGTAGCACTCGTTCTAATCGTTGTACCGTCAAACTAAACGCCCATCGTTTGGCATCAAAGCCAAATTGAGGTGAAGCTTAGAAAGGTAGATATGTAATGCTACATAGTTAGTTTGTCATAGTTTCTATACTGCTATATTTATTGCTTCATGACCATCATTGATAAATGACTTCCGACTCATGCTGAAAGCGGTTCGATGAACTAATGACTTTTCCCCAAAGCGGAAGAGCATTCCCTGTCACGCTCCGTTAACTAAAATCCTTTTGATATTGCTGTATCGGGAAATGCAGAATCAGATCATCATTCGACTCCAAAGCGAAGAACATCGTCAGTGAATCCATTGGCGACTGGTTACCGAAACTGAAGGCTTCAGTAATGATCTCCAGGCCCATTCGAGAAAACATGAAAACTTTACCACATATTCCAAAGATCCTGGAAAACCGAAAAATGGAACCGAAAAAATATCCGCCATCCCTAGCGCTAGACATATTAATCTATTAAAGCCACTCTCCCAGATGTGCAAAGAAAAAAAAAAACAGTGTTGAAAGAATGTTGACGCGGGGCCTGAACGAAGCTCGTTGAAGATCGATTCGATTCTCCATGGATATGAGGTCTCCATTCAACAGCTGACGGGACTGGGCATTTGCAAAATTGCTTGAGGTGGCAGCATCCAAACCACGTCCAGCCAACCGTAGTACCAGCTTGCAGGCTGTTAGCTACGCAGGCTCGTCGCAAATCACTACAGCTGCACCACCAGGGCGGATCGCTTTGGGGGCGGGATATGCCTTCGAATCCTTCTCAGCAGCCGTCCGCACCTGTCGCAGAAATGACACATCTCGCTTCCTTCTCTGCCAAGTAAATGCCTTGTGTGGTGCATATGCTTCCCCGATGCGCTTCCTCCTTACCGTAATCGCTGCCTTTAACACGTTGACGACCGCCGTTGTGCGCGTACTGCTTCAACATTTTTCGTATTCTCTCATCAATAGGCATTCAATCCTTCAGCGTTTTCATTATCAGTAATGAAGAAATAGTTTTTCGGATTCAATAATGTACATGGACCGTTGTGGAACAGGAGAAAACGCCAAATAAATTAAGGAAAACTAGTCTGCTCCATGCGAAAGTGTGGTATGACATCATACCACACGGTCGTCAACGTGTTAAGGCAGAACTGCTAGAAAGGTTAGTTAAGACATGGGCAAACGCTGCATATTTGATATCCTAAAATAGAAGAAACCGACGCGACTGGCTGGGTAACTACAGGGATAATGTTCATGTTTAGGTGCTGGCTGCATCACTGATTGATTTTTTCCTATGAAAATATGGTTTGAGTTAATTGCCGGTTTGGCTGTTTTTAGACTGGACCGTCTTCTTCACAAGCCAGAAGTTCTAGCTGTTTGCTGTGAATGTAGAGCTGCAATACATAGTTTTGTAGAGTAGATAAACTCCTTTTAATGATATATGGCATAATGTGAAAACATGGAATTTCGGAGAAATTTTCATTTGAAAACAGCGACATTATTTATGTAACTACCCAATACATGGATCGGAACTGTATTACCGAGACTGCTCAGCTTACTGACAAATACATTCATGGCCAAGTGAGTCAATTCCACAACACTATAACACTATCATGCGAAGGAGAGCTACACTCACTCCCTCACTTGTTCTTATGACATGATAACAAAGTCAAGCATGGGATTCGCTTGGATACGAGAACGCTTTCGTTCCAAACCGCTCATGTTCCAGCGGAATTCAGCTTTAGACCGTGTGTTATAGGTAACACACGAGTAGCGCTGAGACAATAACCAACTCAATCACCACTTTCGGTGTTGTTATATGAACGATAACGTTTTCGTTTCCAAAACAACACAGCTCAATAGAACCCTAGAGAGAAGTATAAAAAGGGCAAGAGGACATCAGTGGCGGCAACGCAAAGCTCACGAAGCCGGGCAAACAAAGCGAGCCTCACCCCATTGTCATTTGAACTCTTCCTTCTAAGAGTTTTCGCTAATCAAGAATCGGGAGATCCCACGGAGCAAAAACTAATTTTCCCGAACGAATTTTTCT